CTTCATGAAAGTTGTAAAACTTTTTTTTTTTAACATCTTTTACACTTCTACAATAATTATTATTAATTTTTCCCTTAAAAAAAACATTATTCATGAGGGTTTGGAGGATTTTAAAAATCTAAACGATAATGTAAGTGTAACCATAGGAATAATGATGAATCACAAGTGTTATATAGAATAATAATACAAAACTATATATTTAATATAGAATATATTGTATATATTAATATGGCTATTGTATTTTATAATAAATCTTTTAGTAATTAAACTTTAAAATTATCAAAATAATTTTTTTTAACGGATCGAAATGGGTTACCCACGTGTATGTCCGTTGAGCACTTGTTATTAACGGATGACCCGATTAGTTATCGTATTGACCCGAAATCTGTTATTTTCGTATTGTATCATCGTGTCATGTCAAAAACTATCAAGTCTAGAGAAATGGTGAAGTGTTGTAATGGAACAAGTGGGATTTTAAAATCCTCACAAAAACAATATTTTTAATGGCCATTTGCCCACTAGTCTAGGTGGTGTTCTCAATTACTAGACCATGCATGGATTTGGTCTGCACCGAGGGCCATCAGATAGACAAGACCGGCAGTGAAGCCCACTGCACGAAGCCGATGTCTAAGTTTTGAAATTGTCCCGGATAGTTTTTCACAGTTTTGGACATAATTAGTTTGCTATAACTTTAAATTGAGTTTCGCATACGGCCATATGATTGTAAAAATAAGTACTATTGATAAATACTAAATTAAGAGTGAAAAAGTGAAGGAAAGTTGAGGTCCACGTGGAAGGTCTACGTGGCATCTCGTGATCATTTTAATAATTTTACTACTATTGAGAATAAAATAAAATAAATTTTGGGACGGGATGTCACAAGTGAGCTATCACATTCAAATTTTATTTTGATTAAAACCAGAGTTTAATCATAAAAAATTTCCAATTATTTTGAAAGGCCTTAGTGCCTATATTTTTTATCCAACGATATATTTAGACTAAGAGTTGACGAAATAAATGGCTTCGACCTTGTTATTCATAGTATTTGACCTCACTTATAAATGAATGAATATCATTAGATCATAGTACTAAGATACAAAAATTATCTTATTTAAAAAAATGAGAAATTATATACTGATAATTATTTAAAAATTATATGTCAATTGGTTAGAGCAACGTGCATGTCCCTTCATATAAGTTTGAATTCCTCTCCTCGTAGATTTGTCCTAGTTGATTAAGATAATGTGTCTACCATGCATTCATGTTCCAATTCCTCTTTGGATATTAGAGTAATTTAGAACATCTCATTCGCCATAAAGTTATCTCAATCAAATTTTCTCCTTATTTAATAGGGAAATTAACAGAAATGGCCTATTTTCTTATTGTTGGGACCAACATAGGACAAACCGCTCATGCACAATCCACGCACACCATGCACAAAAGAAAAATGTGATGAAAATACCCACATATAAATTGTAAAAACTCACAGCTTATTGCTCATTTTTCTGATTTCGAAGAAAGAGCTATGAGCTCTGGGTTTTTGGGTTGAGTTTAGATATGTAAACATGTCATGTAATGTGCATGTCGTGTACATGTAATGTACATACAATGTATATAGTATATTTTTAACTCGTTCATGCAAAACAAGATTTCTTTCCTCCTCTTTCTCTTCACTCTTTTATGCAACCTGCTCAGTCTACTCTTCTCCTCCTCCTCTGCCTCTACTCCACTCCTCCCCTCCGTCCAACAAAATCCACACTTTACCCGCTTGCAATTTCTTCAACATCCACACATCAACGAATAAAAATATCGTACTTTAAAGAAAACATAATTTAAAATAAACATACATCATTATAGTTACAAGAAACACTAAAGGTTTCATAATACTCATAAGACATTCAACCATAAAATTAAGATTACGAGAATATCATAAAAGTACTTAAAGAAAAGGAAATAGATTATAAAAGTCTAGAACATTATTCGCCTGCCCTTAAATCACTTTTTGCTTGAACCGAAGCACACTTTTCTCTTAACTTCACTCCTTATTTTGGCTTACTTCAGTCTCCTTGTCATGTTTTGGAACATTCAACAAGTAGGAATTGGAGCCAACGCTTTCACTTGAGCCAGTCGGACTCGATGCCTCTGTTCTGGTGGGGATATCATGATTTCCTGTTATTGAACAAAAAATTAAATTACGACTATCACTTTTTACACAAGTATAAAAGAGCAAATTATATCATGTTCTGGTGTATTGACATACACCAAAACAATGGAGGGTTAAGATCTTGAATTTTAGTTTGGTTAAAGAGTCTTAAGAATCAGATAGAATAAAATCTTCCTGCATACCATGCTTCGGTATATCGCAAAAAAAAAAAAAAAAAAAAAAAAAGCTCAAAAAAATATTTGGGTTTCTAATAAGACATCATATCAGCAATTAATATTTGTGCCATAAAATATTATTACTTTATTTATGAAAATTCTTTGACAAACTTATTACTTATAGCTCTACACTTAAAAACGTGTACAAAACCTGAATTTTAATAGAAATACAAAAATAATAATCCAAAAAAGCTAAATGAAAGCGGATAAAACCCACATAAAGAACGAAAACACCCACACTTCACATTACCTGTACCCAAATCCACATAGCCCAAAACAATTAAGACCTAAAATAACCATAATAAATTATTGTTTAAAATACACCAACAATTACTCGAGAGTTCGAGACTGTAGTTATGAATAGCAAGAAGGATTAAAGAAAATGAATCAAATAATTCCTTCATTTTCTTCCAATGTTTAGCAATCATCAAACTCAAATATTTTAAAATAATGTGGCAAAAACCACTTGTTTTTCTTAACTTATCAAAAGGTTATCATTTCAAAGACAAATTTGAAGAATAACTGTATAGGAGGAGGAATAACTACCTCTTGAACTTGAAGAAGTCTTTTTTGGCCTACTAGTACTAGAGACCTCAATGTTTTTTGGCTTTCTTTTTTCAACCTTCTGTTTTGAAGAGGAACTGTCATGAACAATCTTGCAAGTAGTTTTCTCGTCCTCGTTTGAAACTTGCGGTCGGTTTCTTCCTCCTTTCATCACTGCAAATCTTCGAAGAAAAGAAGTTGTTTTAGATTTTCATTTGACAGAGAGCGAACTTGGCTTTTATGTGCTGCTCATAATTACTTTAACGTTAAAGTCTGGATATAGCGAATCTGACCAAGTTGTATAATTAATTACGAATCTAGCGAGTAGGGGAAATATAATGAATGAAAAATGGCGTCTAAAATTTACTCATATATTTTTTTAAAATTATGAACTTGCATGCCACATCAAACGTTTAAAATAATTTGTAAATACAAAATTTTGTCCTATGAAATATGAACACGTGTATAAAGTTGAGATAATTAGCAGTAGAACTAGCTTCTTAGCTTGTTGAGATTGGGGAGGAGAGTTGTGGTGGTGGTGTGGTGTGTGTGAAGTACATCTAGTTTATCAAAACCTACTAATATTCTTAATATAGAGATAAATATTTATCAAAAAGATTGAACGGAGCAAACATTGAGGCAAGGGGACAGGGCAACTTAAGGCCCAAATGCGACTTCACTATTGATCTTATTAGTTGTAATATGTGTGGGGTACAATATCACACCTCGATCTTAAGATACATTCAAAATCAATATGTGATATAATGACGTAGCAGTACAACAAAGATATAGAGTTAACTAGAAAACCTAGTGAAGGAAGGACTCATAAGATCTGCAAAGTATGTAGAATGGTTAGCCAATATTGTACTAGTTATGAAGGTGTTTACCAAGGTTGTGAGATATTGCGTTGACAAAAACGTCAATAAAACGACCCCAAATGATGAGTATCCTATGCCAATGACAAACATATTTGTGGATGCAGTGGCAAAGCACAAAATTATGTCTTTCATGGATGTGAATGACTGGTTAAATCAAATTAGAATGGCTAAGGAAGACACAGATAAGACTACATTTAGATATCTAGGCCATACATGAGCTTATGAATATGTGGTGACGCCATTTCGATTGAAGAATGCAGGTGCTACTTACCAAAGGGCAATGAACGCATCCATAACCTAATCGGACAAAGTTTGGAAGTATATATTGATGTCATATTTGTGAAGCTCAAACCAGAAGAAGAACACTTGACCGATGTTAGGAAGTATTTGCAAAGGATGGGGTTACATAAATGTGCTTTTTGGGTAGGGTAACTTTTTTGAGTTCTTGGTCCACCAGAAAGGTGTACAAGTGGAAAAGAACAAGGTAATGACCATCATGATGGCACTGCACCAACCAACAAGAAGCAGCTGCATAGGTTATTGGGGAAGATCAATTTCCAAAAGGAGATTCATTGCCAATCTGGGAGGGAAAATCCAACCATTATCTCCTCTTCTAAAGCTTAAAAACACAGCAGTTTGTTTGAGATAAGAACATCAGGAGGCCTTTGACAACATCAAGAAGTATTTGGCTTCATCTCATTTACTCATTCTTGCTCGAAGAGAAAAACAGTTGAAGTTGTCCATTCGGCTGCTGGGAGATCCATAGGCAGTTCGCTAGTTGAGAACAATGAAAAAGGGAAGAGCAAGCTATCAATTATCTTAGTAGAGTACTAACTGATGTAGAGACTAGGTACACTTTTCAAAATAGTTCCAAAGTGCTTTTCTAGAATGTTTGCACTTGAAATTTGAATTAAATTGTTAACATGTTAACCTTAACGAATTGGTTCAGTGGAAAGCGAGTAAAGAGTTGAAACTCTTAACAAGAGTTCAAACTCCTATAAATACATATTTTGGAGTCACGGGCCTGTTTTGACGTAGCATTTGATCCCAAAGCCAAATTACGCAATAACCTCATATGGTATTAGGCTGCATAGGAGGAGATTAGTCTGCCACTAATGTATAGCGGGTACCTCCTTTAAAATTTTTTTTTTGTTAACGTGTTACAATAAAAGGACTTTTAGAATAAGCGCTTGAAGCAAGCTTAAACGCACTTTTAAGTCCGTTTTCTAGTGTCCGCCTGAAGAATTGAAAATTGATTCTTATTCAATCAAATTCAAAGCTTCCGCAAACATCCTATTCAACCCATATTGGAGTGATCGATCATGAAGTTAGGGTTTTATTGCCCCTGCTGCCCATCTGTAAGTCTTCCCTTCCATTTCAATTCGCGTCAGCTAATTTCGTATTGTTTGGTTGACTTTCCTTTCGTGGGTTCTGTTTGTTTCCCGGGAAAACTTAAATGCTAGGAAGGGAAACTTGTATCGCTTCAAGCGTTCAATCGTATCGTTTTTGGATTGGATTGGTTGGGACAGACCCCAACAATTGAACTGCTTTGGATTTGATTTTTGCGATGTTGTCTGATTACTTATGATGTTTTTTTGTTTGTTTCCTATGATTTTTATTGTTTGAACTTTTACTCCGACATCGTATCTTCGCAAGTCATGCTTCACTTGATGTTGTGTTTGTTTGGTTGCTGGGAATATCTGGGACATAAGGGACAGAAGTTGCTCATTTTATAGACCTTGAATCACTTGAATTGAAGTCGTAATAATTTCCTGTAGAAGGTGCTTCATCTGTTCCAAAGGGGTAATAGTTTGTACGAAAATTGTACATGTCGAAAAATTGGATGTTTGTTTTAAACAGAGAGACTTTCCTTGAGTATGTAAATTCTCTGAATTTGTTGAATTCAGGTGAGTGTTAAGAGCCTTTGGTGGTAAAATTCTCCAAGATACGCCGACCTTTCTTTAGTCTTATTTGGAAATGTCTTTTGAAGTGAAAGACGGGAAATCCTTTCCAGTCGCCGCCTGGTACTAAGTTGAAGCAGCATGACCAAGGAAATTCACTAGAATTTCCGTAAACTTCTATGTCACTTCTAGGAAGATGGAGTGCAAGTGCGATTTCTTTCTCAAACACTTTTCCAAGACTAGGAACCCGAATTGGACTATAGAAGTAGAATATAACTTGTAGTTGATGAATGCCTAGTCTGTTTTTGTGATTCCTATTTTGCTTGGTTTGACTATTGAACAGGTATAAAAGAATTGCGGACGATGTCAAGACCAGCGCTGCTTGTTTTTGTGCTTCTTATTCTCATAATCACTTCCCAGTTTGAGTGGAAGCAACAAGTTGTGCCTGATCTTGACACTACCCCAAGCATCTCCAAAAAGCAGAATCAAAACTCGAATCGGGAAGTAGCTGTGAAAGAGAAGGTAATAAACCTTTTCCTGATTCATGTAATTCTTTGTTTGTATTTATTTTTAGTAAGTCCATACTTCTGTGTGCTTTCTTCACTTTGAACTTCCCTTATTCTTTGATGCTTATATGGAGATATTGATTGTCACAAAATATTTCTTGAACTGAGGTTAGCTGCTTATAGTAGACATATATGTGCGGGTTTGTCTTTATTTTTCAGTAGCTGCCTAGCTGGAATGCTGGCTAATTTTACTTGAAACCACAATCATATTTTTTTTCCTCAGTTATTCTTGAGGAACTAGTAACTACAAGATGTGAATTTGTTTCTTTGTTTTCCTTTTCTATCCTATTTCATTTGACGATGTTTAATGCATATATGGAGGTTGCCACCGTAGACAATCTCCTACCTGATTCAGCCTTGCCCCAACAGAAACTACTTTTATTTCTACTCTCACTTCCCCTTTGGAAAATGCAAGATCAAATACTTGATCTTTGCTGTCACCTAAGTCCTGTGTGTTTCTGTTTTCTCTATTATTAGCTTTGAAACAAGCAGGTTTCTTCTCTTTCGAGGCACAAAAACTATGCATGTGTATTTTGACCGTATATAGATTGCTTGAATAAAAGATAATCTGACAGGCTTGTATCAATCAAGAAGCGTTCAACTCTTCTGAGCATAAGTGATAATTATAAGCTGTTTACACTTTTTCCGTTTGGTATGTACTGTTGGTATGAGAGAGGTTAAAGTGATTGAAACATCATCGGTATGTGCTGTCGGATTATTGACTAACGTCTACTCATGGAAGCAGCAAAATCATTAAGAAAGAGTCATGTTATATTTCTTTTCAGCCACACAATTACACAATTAAATCGGTAAGGAACCATGAACAGAGTGGTTACTAAGTATGTACATTCAAATATTCGATATTGAGTGCTTTATTTGTTCTGAAAGGTTTCTTCCACTTCCGAACTTCAATATCTCACTCTTTTTCTCTCGTTTAGCTTTCGTGTTACTATCCTCCTTTGTAGTTAACCATGGATGTTCTCATCTGTACAATCAGGTTCTTTGTTTTTTTCCCCATTTGGATTGGAAACTGGTGTAGGTTCCTTGACCATTGAGTGTTGGCTTGACTCTTATGTATGTATCTCTAGTTCTCTACCTTACGAGCAATTTGGTACTGATATGTAGAAGAGGGACAAAAAACAGAGGCAGATAGAATATAGAAGCTTACTTAGAAAGAGAAGTAGAACAAGATGAGAGAGAAAGGAATTAGGCTAAAGTCTTTTTATGATAAAAATCAGAGTAAACTAAAACAACCGATATGAGGTGTAATATATGCTTACAGACAGTCCCAGCTTAATTAAAACTGTTCTGATTAGTTCCTGAACTCAACTGGGTAAAATTAAAGGAAAACTAATGAAAAGGGCTTGAAAACTTTGAGTTTTAATGATAAGAACAAAATAAAGGGTAAAGTGAATAGTACCAGGATTGACTTTTTAGTGTAAAAATGTGATTTTTTGTTAAAGTGAATAGTACCGTGGGCTTTTCGTTAAAACTCCCTAAAATTAAACCCTTACGCCTAGAATGAACAGATATTTTGTTTCTGACCAAAAAAAAGACAACGCTTTGTAGCCAATTTATTGATATATCTGTTTCCCGTACAGTGCTTAGTTTCTATTCAATTTTTTTTACTATTTATTATAAGTAGAATCCTTAGAATAATGTATATATAGGTCCCCATAGATCTGTTATCCGCTTATCAAGCTTACGTAGTGGCAGGGATAATGCAACGAGGAGCCAAATACAAACACTAAGCTTCATGCTTCGGTGATTTTGTATTTATGTTATGATTCTTTTGGCCTATTGGTTTCGTAGATGCAGCGTGACTTCCCATGAATCTGATGACATGAATGAACATTAGTTGGACACATCTAGTTTATTATGGGCAAACTGGTATGTTGCAGTGTCGCCTGAATGAAAGATGTTAATCTGCAGTTACCATGATTTAAAATGACTTGTTAATTTGCTGTAATGGTCTGTTTCTAATCTATCTTTCAATTGAATCTTCATCATTGATCCGAGTTCTTCTATGGCTTCGAAGGTTTTGCAAGAGTTCTAATTTAACATGTTTGGCTTGTTGTAGATCATATTATTGCAAGAAAAGAACATTCAGAGACTCAATGAGCTTGTTCGTAGTCTTCTGGAACAGTTGGTACAGTGTAGGAGCAAGAATGTGACGAGAAATCAAACTGTAAGCTTCCTAACAGAACATGTTACAGAACTTGAACGACATCAGATATTCGATGACTAGGCTGAGCCCGTGGAAGTATATGGATTCTTGTAATATGTTTGAACTGTAAAAACCTTTGTGTTCTTTTACCAGGTTTCACAATGAAATTCCACTTAGTTTGAGTGTAGAATGCCAACCACTCATGTGTCATTGTACCACACTGTAATGCAAACGTGCACTTTGTATCCCGAAGAATCTTCTCCTCACATTTTAACCGTTTTTCCCCTTGGTTAAGTGGAAATTTAATACTTTGAAAAATTGTTTCTTCGTGCAACGTGCTATAAAATTTGCCAAACATAAAAAATTTAAAATAAGCGCTGCCGTCAGCATGACGTCAGCTTGTGCGAAGGCAGCATGCTGGGCATGAGAAGGCTGGGCATTTGGGCAGGTAGTGGTTGGCCCACCACTTGCCCTTTATTTTATGAACTGCTAGAGTGGGTTTTGTGGGTTGGAGGTCAAGGGCATGTAAGTTGTTCTTACTATTCACTCTAAATAGTACTTGTCTTTATGCAACTTTATCCGTTAGGAAAAAGCAAGGGCAATGGCAAGTGCAAATATTATTCACAAATATATGTATTTTTATTTTATTTTTATATGCTTTGTTGGCCTTATCTAGCGGAATTAAAAACCTTCTTTTTTTCAAACTTATACTAAGAAGTAATTAACTTACCTCAGGCAGCCTATCATCTTTCATTCCTTCAAGCCGGTGAAATTCATGGCCTCCCTTACAGCATCGTCACCGCAGTAGAGGTGTGGTTCCTCTATGTCTAGGATACCAGAATATCGAATCATGAACAAAGAAAGGCATGAGAGAAAAACATATCGGCTACATTTCAAAGCCCTATCACCAAAGAAACCAACCTGTAGTCCTTTTCCTTCAAGCAGCTGAATGTCATGCCATTTCAAACCCAAGCCGTTCATCAGAACACAAAAAATTGAAAACCGCAGCTACAACTTAGTCCCACATCGGCCATCAGCAGGGAGGGACAACGCTTTATATATAATGAAGCCAAATTCGTGATCCAGCTGGAAATTTACTTGGTTGGGGGGACCACTTGGTAGTTGTAGAACACGGACGGTGCACAGTGTCAGCAATCTTTCAGACCTTTTTCACGATCTTCAGCGGGGGACCCACTACACAAAATGTCCTGCTAGAAGTGATTTTGCGGTAGTCAAACATTGAGACATGATACGACAAATATTGGTAGGTAGGTAGTGAACAAACCAGGAGGATCATTTTCTAAGAGGATCCTTGGCAATTCTCAAAAACCGTGTTCGTTCAAAATCCCCGGGATTCGGAGAAGATCTTTGAACAAAGTTTTTTTTGTTAAGACTAATATAAAATAGCTTGCAAAAACAGTTGTATTTCAAGTAGATTAAGTGATCATTTCTCAAAAAAAAAAAACAAAAAAAAAAAAAAAAAAAAAAACAAAACAGGTGTAGATTCAGTGATCTAATTATGGATATCTCCAATTTTTTTCCTTATATAGCACTTAGCCTACTTTCATTTGTCTGTTTTTGAGAATTTGAGGGGGAAGAGAGAGAGAGAGGAGGTCACATTCTTTCAATTGGGTGGTTTTTGAGAATTTGAGGGAAGAGAGAGGAGGAGGTCACATTCTTTCGATTGGGTGCGTCAACTAAAAAGGAAAAAGTGGAGGAGGTGTGCGTGTACCTTACGACGGAGGATTCCATCAATTTACAATTTTATTTATTTTTAGAAAATGAGATAATTAGTGGTAAATTACGATTATCCATTCATTTCAGGAGCCGAAAAAACTCATAAAGGCATTTCAGCCTCCCCCTGTCCACAGTCAAGTAGATTTATCAGCTTGGAACCTTGAACCCAAGACCTTCCTTTTTTTTTTTCGGTATTTTGAGAGTCGGAATCTACGCCTTTACCACTAGCCACTTACTATGGATGAATTCACAAATTTTTGAGGTCTCGATTCTTGAACAGTTCGTTTGTCACTTTTTGTCCTTGTATGGTGGGATTGAAGTGTTGCGATCAAATAGGATTTGAGAGGATAGATATAAAAGGAGCCCATCTCCTAGAAATGGAACATATCCGTTTTAACAAAAGAAATCACATACAAAAATATTGGAGCTCGGCTTCTTCTCTCCTACTTCCTTCCCTCTTATTCTATGTGCAATAATTAAGGTCGAGTTAGGGTTGAGATTGAGTTTTAACAGAGCACAACTGAAGTTCTACACTCCAGAATCATTAGAGGAATCAAAAGCTCTCCCAAACAGTTTTAATGTTACCTCTATCTATGAAATATATTGCAGAAATATATCAATTATTTATATGATCAAATATATCAAATCAAATGTATAATCACTATCAGACTTATGAAATTTAATTTAGGAGAAAAGGAATAAGAATATCTGGCCTGTGAACCAAAGAGATGCGCGATGTCATTGCTCTAAAGCTATAGACGCCTCCCTACGTGCAGGTTATAGCGGTGCCTACAACTCCAAGATACAACCCAAAGCCTCACAGGATGTCTAATCCGATATGCACGCCAACGGCAGACGAGATTGCCAAGTAGTGATCAATTGCCCAAGAATTATGAAGTAGGAATATAAACTGACTGAGAGAAATGTGAGAATTGAGGGAGACAGAAAAGCTTAGCGTATTTGTTTTCTATTTGAGGTTTCTTATTTAAAGAACTTCTCATACCCTTTTAAAAGTAATATGACTCTTCAAATAAAACACAACTCTTAAATATTAAAAATAAATAAAATAAAATAATAATAAGTTTTGAATCTTTAAAATAAAATATTATTAAAATATTTAAAATAACCAACAATCCCTCACAAGATTCAAAACTCTATGAGGAACAAAAAAAGACACAATTGAAGAAACGGAAGTTTGGGCAATTTGTATACCATGCAATGGGTGTAGGTGTCTTTTGCACTTGAACCTACACTTAGTATTCATAGTTTTCATCTGAAGGAATCATAGTGAACTAAGTCTTGAACTAGATTCCTCTAATTCAGATTACAACATATGACACACATAGTATTGATCAAAAACTTGGCGTGGGTTAGTGATATTAATAGCCATGCGCTTAATCTTGATTCTCATGAGTGTTTTTAAAGAACAACCCAATTCTCACAGTCGTGGCCTCACGACTACTCTCACTTAGGTGAGTCCTCTAAGAGTACATGTGATCTGTACTCTGCGGGAAATTGCTCGCCTTGGAACTCATTCAGGACAATGTCCTTCCTTAACATCACATATCATCAGCACAAACGTCATCGGGATGAGCAGGGGATTTTATTTCAAATCTCCTATTTTAGAGTACTGGAATATAAGTCATGCAATATGGATTGTTTCTAGCCATTGAACCTTCTTCATAGGATCTCCAATCACAAAGGTTGGGTTTCTTCCCTAGGTGACTTCCTTATGGGTTTAAGCCCATCCCCCTCGACAATTCTAGGACTCCATTCCTAGATAGACCTTTGGTCAATTGATCAGCAATATTCTTTTCCGACTTCACATAGTCCAAAGATACAACCTCTTTATTTAACAAGCTTCTCACAGATTTGTATCTAACATTGATATGCCTATTTAATTTCTTATTTGTATGTGTCTGCTTCACTAAATCTATCACGGTCTTATTATCACAATGTATGGAGATGGCATGTATTGGCTTCCTCACCAATGGGATATCAAGCAAAAAATTCTTAATCCATTCAGCCTCTATACATGTAGTATCAAGAGCTAAGTTCAGATTCCATTGTACTTCTAGAAATTATTGTTTGTTTATTAGATCCCCAAGATATAGCTGCTTTTCCCAATAAAAATACATAACCTTGAAGTAGATTTCACTTCGAAGCTATCAGTGATCCAATTTGCATCACTGTACCCTTCTACTACATAAGGAAATCCTTTATAGTGTATAGAATAATCCATAGTTCCTCTTAGATATTTAAACACTTGCCTTAAAGTATTCCAGTGTTCTTTACTTGGATTATGAGTTTATCTACTTAGCCTTCCAACCGCATAAGCTATATCAAGTCTAGTTTTATTTGCTATATACATCAAAGACCCAATCATTTAAGAATACTCAAGTTGACAAACGGGTTCACCACTATTTTAAGTAAGCACACACTTGGTTCATATGGTGTCGATACAGGATTGCAATTTAAAAAATTGAACTTCTTAAGCATTTTCTCAATTGAAGTAGCTTGGTTTATAATAAAACCTGCTTGTGTTCTTTCTACTTTCATTCCCAAAATAATATTGGCTTATCCTAGATCTTTCATATCAAATCTCTTTGATAGATAAGACTTTACATCTTTCACAATTTCTAGACTTGTTCCAAATAATAATATATCATCAACGTAAAGACATAAAATAACACACTGTCCATTGCATTCCTTATAGTAGACACACTTTTCATGCTGATTGATTTCAAAATCATATCCTAAAATGACTTTATCAAACGTCTCATGCCATTGCTTAGGAGCTTGCTTGAGTCCATATAGCGATTTAACCAACTTACACACTTTATGTTCTTGGCCTTTCACTATAAATCCTTCAGGTTGCTCCATGTAAATTTCTTCATCTAAGTCTCCATTCAAAAACGATGTTTTAACACCTATTTGATGTACTACTAAATTGTGTATAGAAGCTAATGCTATGAGGATCCTAATTGTGGTAATCCTAGACACAGGAGAGTAAGTGTACAAAATAATCAATTCATTTCTTTTGAGTGAATCCCTTGGCTACTAGCCTAGCTTTGTACTTGTCTATACTTCCATCAGGCTTCAGTTTCTTCCTAAATACCCACTTACAACCAATTGGTGTAGTACCAGGTGGTAAATCCGTTAACTCCCAAGATTTGTTTTGTAAAATAGACTCAGCTTCACTATTTATAGCTTCTTTCCAAATGGAGCATTGACGGAGATCATGGCTTCCTTATATGTTGTTGGATCACCTTCAATTAGAAAAGTATAAAAATCATCACCAAAGTTCTTCTCCACTCTAGGTCACTTACTCCTTCTAAGTTCTGCTAGAGGTTCTTCTTCATTTGTAACTTGATGGCTAATATTTGTGGAGGCTTTGTCAGTACTAGTGCATGATCTATCTACCACTTGCTTTTGCATTCTAGTCTTGAAAGGAAATATGTCTTCAAAATATGTTGCATCCCTAGACGCCAATATAGTGTTATTCGAAATTTCATTTATTTCAGAGTTAATGACTAGAAATCTATTGGCACTGCTATTATGAGCATAACCT